GCAGCTCCGTCAGAGCTATTAGAGGAGACAATTTAGGAATTACGGTGGACAGTTCCAGACCAATGTTCACTTGCTAGTCGTGCTCGAAGTTGTTGATGTTTGACATTTCTTCTTCACGTCCTGTGATGAGCGGGCGTTCGTCCACATCGAGACTCGGGGGAAAACTACAGCTCCCCGAGCTTTTGCGGCTGTCTCTAGCACTGGAATGTGGGCTTGTTGAGCTGGAAACTCGTCAAAAGATGTTTGAGCGATTCCTTCGAATGTTTTTAAGTCTCGCGCTGCCACTAGTGGGCACCGAACCGAAAGGTGACAGGCAAACGCTGCTAGAGAAGAAACAGTAGTCGCTTTGAATGCTCACTTAAGCTCAACTTTCAGCTGACTTTGCGCCTCAATGAGCGCATAGACTGCCCAACGTATCGGAGGAATGGATAGAGAAACCGTTGGACGGTCGACGATGGGATGGGAGAATACATAGACAGACGAAGAGTCTGCGGAAAACTTTTGAATGAAGTGACACAAAGCAGCCAGAGGAATGGCTAGCTCTGAATAGCTCAGAACGGACAGCAAGGAAACATTCGGCGTGACTTTTCACTCGCCACTGAGCTCCCGTCGTTGCGAGACGGACGACTGACACAAGAGATCATTACCCGAATTCGTGGCCGCGGAACCGTGCGACCGGCTTGCCGCATACACCTGTCCACCGATTCCTCCTAAGCTATCGGACGAATCGGTGGCAGACCGATGTCGTCGGTCGCTCCATCATTCCACCCAATTCTGCCCGGATACAGGGGGTGGTCGAGCGATGTATGCCATCAGAAGATTTTTCTTTTCATGAAACGAGGAGAAGGAGGAGCACGACGGACTTGGAGACATCGAAAAGCCCTCGTATCTCTTCAATGCGTCTCATTCATCTGCTTCCCCCGTCTGGGGTGGAAACTGACTATTTGTGACGGCGTCAAAATTCTTCACATTGACGTCTCTTGGATTCGGCTGAATTCGGCACCCTAAATCGATAGGGATCTCGAAATAGCACCAGCCGTATTCATCCCGTGAGAGGCTTCTCGGACATCCGTGATTATGCTGGCTTAGAGATTGCGGAAAACGAGTCCGGCTATCTTTATAGCTGATTCGATTGCACTCGCTGCAGCCGGACACGCTCGACTAGAATATTCCACGAAACGCTGTCCGGCAACATTGATCTCACCGACAAAATTTTTCCCGAGGAATCTCTCGCCGGAGTTCGGCTTTCGGAAAGTCGATTCGAACGCGCGTCCGCCAGATCGGGGCATCGAGAAATCTCCGAGAGGCGTTGGGAAAATATTGGACGGTCGACCACTGTCCCGCCGTCGATCGCCAGCGCCGTTGAAACGACAGGGCTCTCCCTCTACTGTTCCGAACCTTGACTGCGCGGCGCAGGATGATGTCAAAGTCGGCGTGTCCTGTCGGCGCGCTTCACTCACAGTCTCGTGACGGCTGTCTGATCCCAATCGAGGTAGATCGTTGAGGAACAAGTCGAGCGGAAAGTGGTTCGCCACTCTCGATTCTGTTCCGACCCATCAGTGGAGATGTTTATAAACATTGAAGCCATCGCTCGCTCGTTAGAATCGATCGCAAGAAGTAACCGCTACGTCCCGAGGTCAAGTCAACCGTTAAAAATCCGAAAGAACTGGACTTCTCCGCGGAGGACGTGTTCCGTGATTCGATCCCTCATCGTTCAAAGGGAAGCTCTACGGGATCATTGAATTCGTCCGTGGATTCCCGACATGATCTGAAATTGAATTTGCATCAAACTTGGAATCCGATTCTCGTTTTTGATTAATGGATTCGGGCTAGCTCCCAACGCGAGTCGGTCCGCTCTCGACGTCGTCTATTCACTCCGAGCTTCGTGTTTTCGGATTCTCTACCGAGCTGCGCTCGGGGCGTAGTCATTGACGGTGCGATTCGTTTTCAATTTCCGGAGCGACTGTTTTGCCCCGTTTTGGCACACGGCCGTCTGGGACTGTAACTCCCATCAGAGTTTGTCGTAAGCGAATAGCTCTCAATGACCTCATCCAGCCGCCTAGTCGTCGCCTTTGCCACCGACATCGTCGCAGCAGCCGGAGTTGAGACGCTCCTCGGTTGAGAGAAGATCTCTGTGATGGAGCTTCTGGATCGGGGAGAGAAAAACTCCCGATGAGTTCACGGTCATCGGTCTCGCTTGAAGTTTCCGTCGCCAGACTCCGGAAGCGCGTTCCGTCACTTGCTAGAGAGAGCCCCAATAAATTCCGCGAGAACCGTGGAAGCCTTGTAAAGTCCACGAAAGGCTCAATCCATCAAAGACTGACGTCAGGTCCGTCTCAAATCTCCGGAGGCGCAATGTCTTGAGACTTTCTTCCACAGCTGGGAGGAATTCGCGAATACGAAAGTTAGACCGAGTCTACACGGGAGGAAAAGTTCTCGATCGGTACCCGGAACCCAGAATCCTAGCTGAGCCTGAACTCCCAGTGGGAAAAGGAGCTCCGGTTCGAATCTGCCCGCATGTTCGAATCGCATTCGAGTGATTATAGCCGCTGTTCAGATCTGCCGTTCCAACTTTTATCATACTCGCATAGCAGAGGGATTGTTCCGCGATCCTTCTGCCTGTGTAATCTACCACAAGGTCAATCCGGAGGTCGATTCTCCACGACTTATAAGTGGCGCCAACGACCGATCGCGCAGCCAGAGAAAGCGCGCACGCTATTGGCGGCTGTTCTAAGCGAGGCTCTGAAAGCAGGCTTACGCAATATGTACATGTGGTTATTGCCAATATCGAGATCGAGCTGCGGCGTCAAGCTCTTTGATCGCATTCGATCGTGGTCGAGTCCGAGACCAATGTGTTCGTTTGTTCCACTGGAGAGGGGAAGAATCGTACTTGTGCTCATATACGGGCTCGGCCGGTGCTGCTCCTGAGACGGCTAGGAGAAACGCCACCCCGGAGCGGATTGGTCGCTGTAAATAAGGCCTTTGTCAATCAGATTAGTCGAAGCCTGCGACCCTTCGGAAACCCACACGCAATCATCGTAAGCGTTTTGCGTGACGGAAATTCGGGAAATCTTTGCCAAAGTTGCAAATCGCGCCGGTGTTCGCGCTCTGCTCGCCCTCTCCCGACTACGCCTTCGTCCTTTCCATTTAATCATACCAATTCCTCGCGATTCTCGGATTTGTTTTTTTTCGCGCTCGCCTGATATCGCGGCTCACATACCCGTACGCTCAGCGCGTTTCTCATGTGTGGTGATATCATTACCAGTCGAGAGAAGAAAGCTTCCGCTCCATCTACATTCGCCCTTATGATAATTCAATATCAAAGGTGACTGAGAATCAGATCTCCGTTAGGAATTACTTTGCGCGCGGCTTTCTCCTCCGGGAGGATCCGGCTCCCTCCCTCTAATAGAACGAAACACAATAGACGCTCGCGTCCACGGACTCCTCCACGAAAATTGCCGCTCACCATGCACGGTGAATTCGACTCATTAGACCCTGCAGCGTGTACGTCGAGCAGAAATTTCCTGTGAGGTTAGACGACCGCCGCACTCGCCTTTACCTCGTGTCGCCAACTTCCGATTTCGAACTCAATGAGAGCGACACATTTCACGCCTAGAGAATTGTCTACGAAGGAGGCGGACCTTCTCGGGGCCATCGCATGGACTCAATGCCACAGTGTCTTGCAGCTGCTTCTCGGACAGAGCTATTTGAGCGCAATCTCCGGTAGACCCCATTCGTTCGGGAATATTACTTTTTCGCTAGATAAAATACGCCATCTCATCCGCCGGACGAGGTTTCCTGCGGTGATTGTGATCTATCTGGTCATGAAGAGCTCCTCCGCGGCAAGACATTGTTCGGTACAGAATAGAGGTCGATTACATGGATATACATGGACATTATTTTCGGGCCTTAGCCGAGGGATAAGTTCCCCAGACCATTACTCCGGCCGAGCCCCATAACTTTCATCCCATAGTTTTTCGGGGCTCTCCTCTTCATTACATCCTTGACAGCTCCGGCTTCGCTCCGGGTCGTTGGAAGCTCCCGACTCCCGACCTAATAGTCAGAGAGCGGATCGTGTCACGCCATCGCCTCGGTGGGCGACGCGTGAACAATTTTCCCTCACGGCACTTCCTCAATTTTCCGATCCTCGATCTTCCCTGAGAACCCGAGCTGAGTTCTCAACCTGAGCCCTCCTCGATGAGCTATCCTGTCGGGAGCTCCGATATGGGGAGACGAATGGGAAGGCTATAATCATCGCCCGGAGAATATAATCCGGGTGGTTGCGTAAGCCCCGGAGAAGAATGTCTTTTCGACAGCGCTTGAGCCGTATCGGCTCTGCAATTCTAGTCTCCTCGCTGCTGAGTCGGCCTCCTCTCCTTGCTGTCCAGGGAAAGCGCTCCTCGATATAACCCAGATAATCCATGACAGGCGGCTTGTCGCAAGCGAGTTCCGAAAGAGCGAAGTTCGCATGGGAGTCATGCGAATCAATTACATACCGAGTTATATTTCAAATAATTTCTGAGCTCCAATCGTTGACCCACTATGGTAGAAAATGTAGGACAAACGATTTCGTGTCTGCTCCGGACACTCTTATTTGTTTTGTGCCAATGTTCCGGTCGATACAGTAATTGAGTGCGGTCTATAACGGCGGGTATATGGGATGGACCCTTATTTCCTGTTTACCGTACCGTGCAGACTCCATCACTGAGTTGTCTCGGAGAGCTCCGTTAAAGCACCCCCGACAGTTTTACGAGATCTTCTGAGGCGCGGTGAATTCAGAATCGTACGGGCGCGGAGCAGAACTTCCCGCAGAGGAAGCGCTGGCTCGTCCTCTGGGATTCGCTTGATCAACAGCTCGCCGGAAAGAATGTCTCTCGGGCAGTCGTTTCGTCCGTAGCTATTCTCAGATTTCATAGACGATACGCAATCGATAGAATTTGTCAAGCCCGTGGTCGAGATCCGAGATAAACGATTGACGACCTTTGTTTGCTTCATTTCAGATTGATCTCCGATTCTGGAAGATCGATTCGACTCGTGATGCTGCCTACGCGTGCGAGTGCGGCGCGACCCGAGTCTGGCCTAAATCGTTCATCCCATCCCCCGTTGGTTATCGTGAGAGCTAACCGCTCACCATGAGTATAATGTTGTTGAAGAAGAAGAAGTACCGATTCCAGGTCGATTGCACAGTTGAGGAGCTTACGGCTGTGCCGTATGTCAATGCCATCCTTTTTGCAAAGTTACGGCTCCTCGAAGGCGGGACCTTCTCGGAAGAGAGTCCTCGTATCGATGTGCGAGATCATTCCGTGAGGTGAGTGATCCTGGACATTTTTTTTTCTTCTTCTCCCCTCCTCTTGCTTCCTCCGTCCCTGTCGCGAATCCCACTCGTACTGATGATTGTCATTGCATGACCGAGCGACTACATTTAGCAGAGCCGAGGATTGACAGTGACGGTCAACGGTCTGACGGAACGTGCGTATTCACGGAAATTCTGATTTTACAGATGGCACAAAACGTTTTCCTTTCAATGCCGAATGACCGCGAACGCTTCGACGACGGTGTTGGACGCTTGTCATTGTCGAATTTCGATCCGGAAAGAAGCCCAGGGAGGCAGAAGTTGTGAGAAGCTGGGCTTTGTTGACCTCAACCTGGCGAGCTTTGCGGGCCAAGGCGCAACCAGTCAGAGATTCCTACTCGAAGGCTATCGGCAAAACCATCGACTCGACAACTCGATCCTGCAGGTAACGGTGAACATGACACTGCTGGTCGGTGATCCGTGTTTCAAAACATCGAGTAAGAGCACCGTCAGCGAGGGGGACGGCCTGGGCGCCGTTAGCTCCAATCCTCCGCAGGACGGAGGGAGCCCTTCACCGGACTCGTCTCCCATGCAACCATGCAGGGTCATGGTGCCCACCGACGTCGACTACAGCAGTTTACCTAGACGACAGCCCCATCCAGGTGAGCGATCTCTTGCGATGCGAGGAGCTCTGATATGCCGGTGGGAAGAACATCGGCAGCATTCGAGGCATTCACCTCGATCATTGTCTCTTTGCAGACGGTGGTAGCAGCGGCGGAAGCAGCGCTGAGACACCTCCTCCAATTAACCAGAATCCTCTGCTGGATAGAGCTGATAGCTGTTCTCTCGCTGCCACAGAGTCGGGAGCTGGTCTCTCCGGCGACTGTGGCAACTGTGGGAGCAGCGGATGCCTTGCTGGACAAGGCGTTCACCAAAGACAAGGAAGCGATAGCGCCCACCTGCGGACTCATTTCGACAGCGGATCATTGAAAGACCGGAGTAAACGAAGCAGCCACAAGAACGCTCTGAACGTAAGTCTCGATCTGAAGAGTCGTCAAAATTTACACCTAAATTCGCGTGGGACTCCACGCGTTCAGTGGGCTGTGGAAGCCCCCTGAAGGTGCACGGAACTAGATATGTTCTGTCATGATTGACAATGGCCGCAAGATGTACGTTGGCATCGATTGACGGGGAACATAGGCTTTGGTCACAAAAACTTCTCCATGTTCTTTCCGGAGTGTGACCGAAAGTCGGGCCAACCCGATAAGTGCCCTCCCGAGATGGGCAAGTCTTTGTTTCATGCATATGCTCCATCAGAGCTCTGATTTGTCGAGTCATTGCATCAAATTCTGACTCGTGTAGAACCACCGTGACTCGAACGACGTCTTGTAGCTTTATTACGAGAATCGACGTCGCTTCATCAATATCGATGCTCACCAACTTGACAATGTCCTGTACAAGACTTGCTCCAGCGGACGACGCCACTAATTATTCTTTCCTCGACTCCGTAGATCGTGGAAGAAGGAAACTCGAAGATGGATTCGACTCGAGAAGATCCCAATTACCTTATCAACCTTCTGCTCTCGACAAAGCTCTCACCGTCGTTGGGGGGAGGGGAGCTCCTGTGCCCGTCTCCGTTGGGAGCATTGAGCAGTGGGCCTGATTCGGGGGTCGGGATCGATAACGACACCGAGACCGAGAGCGGACTCCGGCAATTCATCCCAGCCCTGACTTCAAAAGATTATCATTAGGTTCCGAATCGTCTTGTATCAGGGAAAACTTTTTTCGTCCGAGCAGGGAGGATCAGGTCTCTACGACCAATTGGAAAGTTCCTTCGAGATTGAAATGGGTTGTAAACTTTGAACGCAAAGGAGCACAAATTCCTGGATCAGAATCACGAATCTCCGTCAGGGCTCGTAGAGCAGGAAACCACCGAGTGGAGGTCCAAGGGCGACAGAGAGCGAGGAGATCGGGCTGCAAGAGTGCGTGATACTCTACACCCTTACAATCGAACGATCAAATCCGCAAATGCCTACATGTCGATGTCCCGAAAAGCAGAAGCCATTCCGATGAATTGCGAGCTGATACACTGAGACCGAGCAGAATGTCAGCGCCTGATCTTTAGAAGGACTTAGATGTCTTTTCGTGTTTTGAGCCAGTTTCGCGGAAAGTCGAGTTTGTAAATTAAGCCCCGCAGATGGAAGGATTACAGTATTCGATGTTGACGGTGATCAAGATGTAGAAGAATTGGAATTCATTCATGTATTTTCTGCGACCTCCGATTGGCGGTTCCCGAATCGAGCGACTCTAGACTACGGTATCAAGACGATTGCCGAGTGTATTTGTGAGCGAACGTGGAGAATAAATGTATGGATCGATTCAGCTTTCGGCGTCAGATCGATTGTATGATCAACGTGGAGCTACGGTATCGGATGTTATGAAAGGTTCGGCTCCACGGTAAAACTTTCGGACGAGGAGTACGACAACGAAAATGTATCCTCTTGCGCCTGTGTACCTATTCTTGAATATTTGGGAAACCGTTGGAGGAAAAGAGTCATCATGAGATCAGCAAGAAGTTCTCGCTTCCCCCACGTCCTAAATTCATATTGGGGTGCTACCAGTGTATCGATTTGGTTATTGTTGACCGCCTGCGGTCGGCGGTGTCTGCCACTTGGCCCTATTCCACCGACCCGACCGACCTGGGCTATCCTGTAAATTGAATATCATCTCCTAAGTAAATTTCCCCGGAAATAATTGTTTGAGCGGCATGCTTGCAATCGCTATTAATATTATTCTAATGGCCTGAATAAATCAGAGTATGCAGAGGCGTGGGAAAACAGAATTATTCAATTATCCCATGTGACGCATGAAAAACGATTAGTCGGAGTACCATTCTGGAACCCGGCAGCTTCGGGTACGATCGGGATTCCTCGTGGGAAAAGTCGGCCCGATCTGGCCGGGTCGAGCAAAATATGTACATATAATCCTCCTCGGCATCGTCGATCGTGTGAGTGGGGACTCGGGCCTTGGACATTCCGAGACGACGACGTACTGTATCCGCGTATACGGAAGAGCGAAGCCTATTCGAATCATCGGAAACTGCTTCAACTCTTCGCTCGACCACTCGCCTACTGTATCCAACTGAATGGGGCTCAAGATAGAAGAGTTTATCTTAGCTGAGAGAAAAAGGTCTTTTCTCCTTCTCAACGTTCCTCCCCCGATGGCTGACAATTCAGATATATGTCCCCCATGTAAGGATTGAGGAACGGTCCCGAGGCTGAGGATTTGAGAGATGTACAATACAGCAGAGTCCCGGTAATGCGCAGCCCCGATGATTCGTAAAGTCAGAAATCCGCTTCAAGCGGCGATTCTGCCGCGGAAAGTTGCGGGAACGTCTCTATATCCGAGAGAGATGTGAGTCCCATTCAATTCGCTTATATATTCCTGGCGGAAGTGAACTATGCCGTGTCATGCGCGAAATCCCGATAATTAGCAATTCGTGACGGGAAAGCGTGCCTAATCCGCGGCAGCGAGACACATAGGACCGTGTCTTCTCGTTCTGGTCTGGGCCAGAATTAGATTTATTGGAGAACCCCTGAGATCATAGAGCAGTGTTTCTCAAGGTGGCGCTGGGGACGATTTCCTCCCCCAAAGAAGCCTGAGGAAGGTTGGGCGCGGTGGTCGCGAGCTGACACTGAGGCAGGGCCTGGCGAAAACTCCTCGAGAATCACTGTAATAGAGTGGCTCAGGCGATCGGCAGCAGTATTTCCGCCTCACTTTTGCTGTCACTCAGCAACATCAATGAAGTGGTTGCCTCCAGAGGATTGATGGAGGAGGTTTGCAGGTTTTAGGTGCACGTAACCCGGAGGAATGAGGAAGCCTGGTGACCTCGTTTATTATTATCTCCTGTAGTTTAAAATTTATTATCCAACTTTCAAGTAAGCCATGATGACTATCGGTAATATAGGGCTCACTATGGACTTAAAGATGTTTTCAGAGTAAAGAATGACTAGTGGGAGTAGGTGTTCAATCGATTTTTTTGTGTTGTCTTCGTCGTAAGTTGTCTTTTCAATCCTTCCACTCTAGATCTGGATCGATATCATTTCCATCATGAACCAATTCAGCGTTTCGATCTCAGATTTTTTCACTGGAGAGGCTGCAGCTCCTGTTGTAGCAGGCTCCCGCAAAGTTTCCGCGTCTGAAGATTTGACTCGTTTCCGAATTATAGACGCTCCAGCGGATCAGAAGACCGGAGCGTGATCGATGTCGATGATCTGATTCCATGATTTCATGCTTGGATTCTCCATCCGCAGATTGGAAACGTGGATTGGGCGAAGGATTTCGAATCAAGTCCAGAAGGACTCACTCAGTATTCCAGGAGAGACTGACTGAGTCCCAATGCAGTAATCTTCAAGAAGGGTCGGCTCTTGTAGCTCGCAAGTCGATGGGCGAGGGGGGAGGATGGGACATTGCCCGACATTTCCGACCTGCGTCTCTCGCTCATTTAGACTGGTTGAATCGACTCAGCTTCCGTCGTCGCGCTCCAGGTTGTCTGTCGTTCTAATCGCAGTAATTTAAAAACATCCAGCTAAGGATCATCATAACCATCATCATCAACATCCTCGTCTCTATCAGTGGTTCACACGACAGCATTTTTCTCATCTTATCGGATTCCACGGACCTGGAGACATTCTTCTTCCTCCTTTCCCCCTGTCTCTTCCTCCCGTAAGTAATGGTCGGTATATATCGAAGTAAACTATATATAATAATAATCATAATGACTTCGTAAGAGCCCATACCTAAGCATGCTCCTGCTATCTAACACCACGATCCGACGACCGTCCGCGGGTCGACGATCCCTAGCAGGACGACGCTGCTCCGCGACCTCCGAGTGCTCTGGTTTTCATTTACTCAGGGATGGTATTGTGTGGTGCTCATGTAGCGTTTCTCAGCCAGTCATACGCCGTTCGTTCCGCGAGACTTCCTGCACGCATCCTCTCCTTCCCTCAATCACTTTTTTCGTTCCTACGAGTCGTTGAACGTATAAACGTACGTGATGGCGACCTTCCGCATCGGCTGATTCCTGGTTGCTGGAGTTGGAAGAGCGGTCGCGGAGCGCTCGCTTAGATGACAATTCTTGGAATTTGGCAGAACTGGCTATACACGCATTCTCCGCGCGCGAACACTCGAATTCATCCGTCATCCTTATCTAATCCTTTCCTCGAACCACGTCTGAGGACTTGCGACTATTCTCAAATCACCAATATTCTCATCAATCAAATTCTTTAATATGGGACACTATTCTTCGTACGATCGGTTGTGTGTTTTCGTTGGTTTCCCCCCATTCCTTTGTCTCTTTGTTCCTGCCTGTATCGTCGTGTTTCAGTGTTCCTACCCCTTGCCATGTCTCTTCATAAGCAGCTCCGGAGATCGGTTTTGAAGTCCAGACGTTGATTGAAAGTACAGCGAGTTCCATGATGATTCGAGCTCTGAATTCTTCAGAGAAGACTCACGGAGCCTCACTCAGAAATTTCGCCTCTCACTGCGTATCGACGAAGATCAAACTGATGATCGTTTAAGCAGGATAGAGATGCTAGAGCATAAACTACGAATTAGTGAGCGCGTATCTAGTGAGATGATTCGGAGTCTCGACTTGCTTCGATTGGTCTAGCGTTGGCTACTCGCTAACGCTCATTAGTCTGTTAGTGTAGGTGCTTGTTTGTTTTTCCATGTCTGTTCTCCGTCTGATTTGCGCCATTACTGTATATTTTTAGTTGTCTCGGATAGCTGGTTGATGGACGGGGCAGATGAGTGCCGAGAGACTGCTTCAGGAACTGCGCCGGCCAGCCGCGGTTGGGCGCGGGGATATCACGTAATGCTTATCATTGAAAATAGAGTTGTTTTCTATCTCGACTTCGACTGCGCCGATACCGCGAAACGTTTTCTGCTGCTTCGTCTTCCATTCTTTCTCGCGCTTGTTCGACGATGTGTCTGCTTCGTCGCGTTTTTATTGCGCCCTCGATTTCCGCGGCGATCCTGTTCGAGACAGAAGCCGCGACTCTTCTCCAATTCCGCCCTCTGAATCTGGACAATTCGGAGGTCAGCTACAATCTTATCCCGAGGACTTTTCCTTGCGAACCAGACCAGGACGATCTGAGGAGTTCAAATCATGGAGTGTCAGGGATCCGGGAGAACGCAGTCGCCTCGTTTAATTCCATCGCAATTTTCTGGCAGTGATGGAGTCGACTAGGACTATTTATCTCGGTTTATCAGCGCCGTCTCCAACAAGTTCGGGCGTGCCCACGGTTCCGTCTACCTTACGGGAAGAGGAACAATCGGGACGAGAACGGAAACCGTCTCGAAGGATGACAGCTGATCTTGGTTTCTCGGTTCGCTTGTCGTCTGTTAATCTCTTGTTCCTTTGTACCCAAAAGACTTTTGCCTCGGATCATAGAAATCGCTGTCGTCTACGCATCTTGGGTCGAGAACATGCGGTCGGAACCTCCGAAGCACTCAGATACGCGCAGCTGATGCGGAGTATTAGACATCGGACATCAGAGATCGTGAACTGTTCTTGATGTTGAGGGTCGGCTTGCAACGTGGCGGCCACCACATGCGGAAGGTGAACGAGAGAAGGCACTCATTTGTCGAAAGGGTACAAAGACATTTCGCGGCTCAGCTCATGATTCCCATCTATGGTAGACAGACTCAGCGCCATGCTGAGTAGCAGTGAAGCTACTTTCCCTTTTATTTTATGTTGCATTTGTACTTTGGGTGATTCGGTGGCTTCGGGTCTCTGTCCGAGCGCGTTCCTCGCAGGACGCATGTCGTGCATGATTGGCGAACCTGAACGGGCAAGGCTCAGAGACCGTTTTTCGACGCAGATCACTCAGCCCTTCTTGACAACCCAAGCTCCGATCAGATGAGTCGTGGGATGGCAACACGATGCTGGATAACGGCGACATGGAGACGGCAAGAGTTTGAACTCGGGCTTGCGGAGCGTTCGCGATTCAATCGACGCCATCGGAGTTCGTCTAACGTGGATGCGACGGACATTCGTCATCTCAACCGTCGTTCTTGTCGCCTCCGCCGTCATCTACGCTGTCGTCATCAACCTAATGATAATCTTGTACAAGAAAGACGTCTCAATCGGCCCGTCATCGCATCGGCTAAACCGGGAATCCTATCTCTTGTCTGTCTGTTGAATGTTTGTCTGTAATTAGGCGGATTTTTTTTCTGTTCCGAATTAGGTATCATGGTCTGTCTGGGCGTCTTCTCCTTCATGTCGTAGGCGTAGGTTGAGTGACTTGGTGGGGTTTGAATTCCGGTATCGAGTGTCTTTGAGGTTGGTGATGAGTAAGGAGTCATTCTGTTAGACGACCATCTGATATTCTGGTCATCCTCTCCTCGGGTGGCGAATGAAAGATAATGATGCATCGTGCCTGATCTGAAGCCTGGCGTATGGTATGTACCTTCGCTCGCATGTGGTTCGAAAGTGATTCTTGTTTGAGCAGCAGGAACTACCTCGATGAGTGCACACCGTGGATTTAAAATGTTCATTACCCGTAGAATCCATATCTGACAATTGGAAGTGATTCAAGCGACATCGTACTAACAATCGACAGTCATCGAATAGACAATCTTTCAGACCAACGGAACTGGAGGGAACCATATATCTTGATGCTTGCGAACGATTCATTCATCAGTCAATCAATTGATAAATTTGCCAGCCATGTCGACCATCGGAAAACCTCTACCTGAACATCCAGAGGTGGTCAACGTTGAAGTTGGCTCACCGTTTGCTAAGCAACAAAGACTAATCGGTCAGAAAGCGTTAACCGCCTCGCAACATTCTCAGCTCCAATACATCGGCCTCCAACTGTGGGATTTTGGTAGTAGCAATGGTCTCCGTCGGTTCTCGGTACCGTACGTTCGATGCGAGCAATAATTGTAAAGTGTTAATCATTCGGTTGCCTTTTTGTCACTTCGTTCGTCATTCAGTTCTCTGTCAGCGGAACAAAACGTACATCAGGTTCGCCTTCCGGTTCGGGTGAGAAATCCGGTGGGGATCTGATCGACCACAATTTTTCGCTATGGGTTTTGTTTTTCATTTATAATGGTTGTTTTCCCTTCCTATCGAAATGGCTTCGTGTCGACAATACAATGCTGTCCTTGTGGTTGTTGATGTTGTTCTTATCATATCCGATGGCGGAGTCCTTGGAACACTTTCGTCGATTCATTCTAAAAGCCTCCGGAGAGCTAGCGAACCGATGGGGTTGCTTTCCAGACTTCGGCAATCGCTGTGAATAGAGATTCTTACGCGGACCTGCATAGTGCCACTCCGACTATCGCGGACAAGGCTACGAGCATCATTGTTGGCGCAGATGCTGTCGCAGGATTGCATGCGTCTGTTTCGCATTGGCAGGTCGTCGACTTGATTTGGAAAGTTGCTGTGTTCAGGCATTCCTTGTGTTGCTTCGCCGCACCGCAACGACGATCTACTGTCGGCTCCTCGGTTCCCACTGGGAATAGAATGCAGAATAATTATTAGCCAGATTCTCGTGCTCGCTATCAAGATGCTTCCCGGAGACTCGAGGGGTATCGAATCGACTTCCCGGAGGCATAATCGGATCATATGCTTATAAATATCCTTCGTTGTAGGCTTACTTGTGATGAACATGGTCCTGCAGAGAATAGCAGGTTGTCCGTTGATTGTGGGGCAGTCCCTGATGAAATCTTTGTGTGGTGGCGACAGGCAGCCCGTACCATTGTATTTGCTGTTGCAAATGTAGCACTTCAATGCTTCGGCTGGAGATTACGAAGATTTACATTAGGCGTGCTCTTCATTAAGGAATCTAAGGTTTCAAATCCGTCGACTCTCCGTTCCCGATGGAGAATCCAGAAAGACTACAATAACGATCGACTCACGCTAATTGTTAGAAAAAACTTCGCTGCACTAACCTCCTGGTACGACAATCGAGACAAAAAGAACCAAGGAGATCGCAGCTGCGATCTGACACGTCGTGCTGACCATTTTTCCTAGCGTTCTGTGTGGCGGATCGAAAACTCTCGCGATTCAGCAACGGTTCACAGCTTTCGAAGCTCAGAGCCTGTAAGAAACGAAATCAACTGTCAGAACCCGAGTTCGTCGCATGATGGAAATCCTGTCTCGCTGATCATCCCCCGCTTTCTACCACAGCAAACCGAGAGTACAGATCTGCGGGAAGATAACTTGCGTCGGCGTTTGCTGTCTGACGAGTGACCGTGAAACCTTTCGCAATCCACCGAACCACTGGTCTCAACCTAGCTCAAAACGAAGGGGGAAGTTCCCCACATCGAATATCAGCGGGAATTTTTGATCAGCATTTCGCGGCTCACCAGGAGGAACAGACCTCTTATCTGGTATTGCGGAGAGTGGCACGTATTCGAATGGTTCTGGATTTCAACAAGACATGCTTAAACGCGAAAGCTGTGAGCGAGGATCCTCTCCATCGAACCGTTTGCGAGAGTGCCGAGAAGCTCTTAACCTCTACCCCTCACCGCCGAAAAAGAAATATTCTTCGTTTGTTATATTTCTAGTAATTCGACCTCTCTGTTGTCTGTTGTGCGACACCCCGAGCGCAGAGTCCTACACTCGCGATAGACAGGGCGTTCAGTAGACCCGAAGGTGTCCTGTTCCTGTTTCCATTCCTCGCTCGATGGACTCTTCGAGCGATTATCCCGCTGATTGCCACCATCCTATTGTGTCTGAGTTAGAGATTTCCAATCATATCAGGGTGGTTCTGCAACGCTTCCATCGTTTCTGGTATGTATCCTTCGCCTGCGCATCGTCTGATTCTGGTCTCTAGACGTGAATCACTTCTCGGCTTACTGACTCGACAACGACGGTTCAAAAGTCAGGATCTCACTCGGCTGCTCTCAGGCTCCGTCCTCAATCCCGCGTTCGAGATCGTGTTCTGATTTTTGTGTTCTCGAGTAGTCACGGACCTTTCAGAAAGCCATTGTGCTCGGTGCAGTGATATGAATCGAGTCACTCGGGGACTCCCTCCGCTCGGAACGGCCGGCAATCAGATCCGATGGGCATCGGAACTCCTTTTCGAGGGCGTGCACCTCGATTCGTGACCGGGGCTTCCTGAAAGGCCCTAGTCCGCGCTCGCGCTCTCCGTGAACACGCAGCTCGCTCATTGGTTTGACAATGGTCACGAGACCAAAGCCCACGGCAACGAAATAGTCAGCCGAACGGTGAACCGATCGAGTAGGCGAGCATTCGTCCAGCCGGCAAACCGACCGCCCGACCCACGGAAGAGCCTTCGAGCAGGGGGCTAGCGGGCTGGGCAACTCGATTCGGCCAGGGGCATCGATCGCCCGCCCGACATTTTAGCCTGCGCTGTGTTTCCCGCTCGGTCTGCTTGCCCGGCTCGCTGCAGGATTCAGAACGGGAGTGTGGCTCGGCCTTCGTTGCCGTGGCCGCCATTAGGTTCTCGCACGCCTGAGACCGCAGCTACGGCCGCCCCCACGGCCGATTTTTCGCATCTGTTGCCGTCTATTTCCACGGTCGACGGCAAATACCACGGCATCGAAAGAGAGAGCTTCCGAGAACCTCTCAACCGTTCTTGTATCGAGAGGCCGCTTTGCGTCGTCGTGCATCCGCGGTGTGACGCCGCATTTTGATTGCGATGCCTGGGACGTATTGCGGATAGCCCAATGCCTTTTCCTCCACAGGGAACCTTTGTTCCGTGCTTGTGGCCGAGCAATGGGTCGTCATCTCCCGCGGGCATTAATGGCAGGCTTCTGCGGGAGTAGCACTCAATTGTGGCGAAAACGAGCAAGCGATTGCGTCCCCTGGTCTCCGTGGCTCCCTTGGTGCCGTCTTCCCGCTCCTGACGAGGCTTCCTCGGAAGGGAGGGAGAGAAGGTCGAATGTCAAAGGTTGCCAGAGCCTAATGATCGGCGCTTGCGAAGAGACAGAGGTCAGCGCGAGGGAGAGCACCGAAAAGCGAGCGCAAATCTTCCACCTCGGCTCAAGAGGGGGTTTCGTTCTCGTGATCGACGGGCGGGCGGGAGGACAAGACTATAAGTTGTCGTGTTTGCCTCGAATGACTCCCGTGCTTCCATTTCGAGGAAAGCTCGAGAGATTGAGTTGCGCGTGCGGTCGCGTGTTGTCTGTGATCGTATTAGACCTCAGGCGGTGGTTTGTGGCCCCTGATGATACTTCGTCCGGATTGCCTGCATTGTCTCTCATCGGGGAGCGAGTTCCCGGTCGGAAAGGCTCTTTGAGACGTCCGTCCGCCGCGAGCGGTCTGAGTGAAATATTCGTAATGCAGCGACTAGCCCCACGTCTAGTCCGATCGGTGGTCGAGAGCGGGACGGAAAGTATCACATAAAACACTCGCTCCATCGGGAATCGCTCCGACTATCATCCCTTTCCGCTCAGAGGGTACCGGTGGGTTCTCCTACACGTTTCGTGATCGAATAAGTCACCTGGTCGGCTCGACCGACTCGCCGACCGCCTGCTGCGTAACTGGGACCTCAATGCCGTCATCAAGGGCAAAAGCCGACCGCCAAGCTCCTTTCCGGCAGGTTTTTCCGCTCACAGTCCCCTACCCTCGGTTGTCACGCCAGGAGAAGGTGCAAAGTGCCCCAAGGATGCTCCCGGAATCCTGTTGCCGCAGCGGCCCCGCTCCCGTATAAATGAAGATAAGGGACATAATGAGTTTACGGAGCGGAAAGCCGGAGGAATACCAAGCAATACGATAAGAGGAGCGATAGGGAGAGGGAGGCTGAAATATGCTGTCACATGGATCGACAACGCATTAGAATCTTCCATATCGACTAATCTGAGGACTTGTCGTCGCTTGAGCCCCCGTGAGGAGTGAATGTCTATATTCCATTGCAAAAATATCCCTTATTGATCACTGGCTGCTGTCGTAGGCTTCGGCGATGATCCGAGCGATCGCATTCCGGAATTCGTCAATCCACGACTCCGACGTTCTCTTCGCGATACTTCGCGCTCAACAGGATACTCGGCGACTTGAGAGTTGAGAATTCACGATGTCGAGAGAGGATATCACAGATCACCTCGCTTTGTATGTAAAAGAAACACTTAAAGAGTCTGGCCCGCCGACCGGCGAGCCTCTATCATGTCCTCTACTAGGGATTGAAGCCGTCTCGTCGGATTTCCAAGGTTGCCTTGACTCATTCCACTCAATGAAAATTCCAATAAACGTGCTTTGAGCGGATGGTCGTCGTTGAGACGGAGATTCCCTACCGCGCTGAGATACCGCTCGGGCTTTCTCAAAGTGCTCGCTGGCACAATATGTATGTATATGTAATTCCTCGAGTGAAGGCGAGATCTATCCTCAGCTCGGCGCAATGGAGCTTACCTCGGGGAAGTTTAGCGACGTATTCAGAGGATTGACAGACCATTCGTTAGGTCGTAATAGAAGCCGGCGGCGAGTGAGTACCGCCTCTCCCTATCTGCCTATCCCCGCATGTATCGATCCACGCCCGCCGTAATTGCACATAATGGCTCCCGGAGAACAGACGGCTGACCGTTCGTTTTCAGGGGGAGTTCGATTCCGGGCGTATCTAGGAGTCGGTCAGATCCGCAAGAGCAGAAAAAGGAGGAACAGATTCACTTTCTCTCGTTCTCGAAGGCTCCTCCAGGATGGAATCGGAAGCTACCTAGTATGAATTCGGAAATCATTGTTTCGAGGCGATAACTTTGCTCTCGGTGGCTCATAGATCAGTTGTCGCTGCCCGCTATATATAGCCAAGGTCGTTGGCTCGCTTTGAGGACGAGTGGACTTCAAGTGGTTGTCACAAGGTTCCGCCCACGTTCTCAGACACCGCGCCGCTGCCCAATAGAAGCGCTAGAGACTTGATGGAATTCTCGTGAATTTTCTCATGTCCCTCTTGTTTGTACTCTCGGCAATGCTGCGGCTTCTCCCGGAGGACCAGCGCCACCGTAGGAACGCTATACTGGGACCTACGCTGTTGCGATCGCCCAAGGAATGACTCGACTGACGAGCTATTGAGACAAGTCTGAACCTGTCGCTGCTGCTCTCCCTCCTCTGGCATGTGAAATCTTCAATCGAATCGAAATCAATCTCCGAATAGGCTCGGAGCGCCGCCCGGAGCTTTCCTCGAATTGGGAATCGGGACGCGCTAATTCCAGAGTGTCACAACAGCTCGCTGCAAGCTTCAATCGTCACGTGGATCAACGTCTCGGAGACGGACAGGGGTCGGCGCTCGGTGATACTATTGATCGGTGGGACATGAGAATGCGAATTCTTGCTTCCCTGGAACTTGCCTCGTGGGGGATTGTTTCGACGGAGCGGCAGTCGATTATTCACTAGACGCATCGCTTACCAAAAGCATCCCTTTGAGGTGAAGATCACACGCCGTAAGGCGAAGGATAGTCCTTCAATTGACCCATCCTTGGATTCATTTGGACCACTCTCATAGCCAACAATGCTGCGCCGAGCCGCATCCAAATCCATGATATTCGAACGCATCTAACTCGCAAGTCGATTCCCGTGCTCGCATGATAGGCAGTCGCGTGCGACAATCAGTTCCCGGTCGGCTCGGAGAAGAGGTCGTCCTCTCTGGGGCTCGGGGCGAATCGGGAGACGCGAATCGTTAGCGTCATAGAGACACTTCAAATTATTCTTGACGCATCGCCAAAGCATTCGAAGCTCGTCAACCGCAGGGGAGTGATTGTATTTACCGTGTAATTGTTAGTGAGTGATGCGCGGTCCGAGCGGTAGACGCGACATGGACACGTTTTCTCGCTTTCTCATTCGTTTTAGCTCAATCTACCTAAACACGCCATTCAAGGGTTCCTTTCTTTTTCAGACAAGCGTTCCGAGTCTTGATTGGCCGACTTATCATTTTTGGTTTCCAGTTGGAGGGAGACTCTTTTCCTGTACTGAGTGAGAGTAACCGGGAGACCATTTGCTTTAGCAATGACGTGAGAGGAATGTGCATTTCAGAAACTCGCTCATCGAACGAGCTTCAAAGAAGGAATTCGATGATGGGATCATGTTGACTCTCGGACGGACCTCGTCGAGAATCGGATTTGAATAATTCCGATTATTCAATGGGAGCTCGCGATTCGAGGAGTTATTCCTCGGTGAGCAAACACACTATCGGAGCGCAACCGATGAGCAGCTTTTCCCGCTCGTCTCGATAGAATCTGTAGAAGACAAGATTCGACTCCGTAACTTGACAATCGGGGACTGATGAAAGCTTGGGGGCAAGGGCTGACCAATGATCAGAATTCCCAGAATTTCAGCCCAACCGGAACACTTAATTGGCGGACGCATGAGAACTCAAGCGGGGATTATGGAGGTGAATGCCGACTATGTGTATCCGATGCAGACGCAGAGAAGCTACACTATGGTGTCCCTACTCCGGAAGGCTTTTGGCAGCTGTGAGCGAACACGATGGTGCCGCACCTGGCAGGATTAGCAGTGAGCTGGACAGCTGCACAGAGTCTGTCCGGAACTCGGACTTGTGACAGAAGGGGAAAGGTAGAGAAAGAGTGAGTTCATCAGATTGTCATCAGCGGAGACAAGTGCTTCTTCGAAGTCGTGCCTCACGCTCGTGAGAGCGGGATATTTTTGAACATAGTAAGTCTATGGGGCCCCTATGGTCTGTGGTGAACGTGTTCCATTTTGGAAGGTCGCCTCGATCTCGCTGAGCCGTTAGGCACTAGAATCTCTTCTAGCAATCGCTCAGTGTCGAGCACATTCCCATGCTGGAAAAATTGTTCCGACGCGCGAATGCACTTGGAGCGAACAATTCGCCCGACGGACACGGGAGTCCCAGTCGCAATGAGCCTTCTGAGGAGTGCACGCGGACCACCAAGGGCAAATCCAGACACTGGTCAAATGTTCGCTTCTACGTTCCTATTGCAAATGCGATTGGCGCAGAGCGACGACAGGATCGGATTCAGTCGATATTCGTGGAACATTGTGAAGAAAAAAAACGATATAGATAGAATGATCCCTCCCGAGGGGGTAGGGGGTGGTTTGAATGTCACGGCATTTGGGCGACGCCATCTCTAGCAAACGCCGGTGCGTTCAAACGCGCAACGTGACGCGAGCGAGCCGAGATGGATTCGGGTCAGATATTTTCTTGTGGAGTGCATTGTGAAAAACATAAAACCAAGGAACAATAACGCCGGCGGGGTTGCGCCCGCCTTGTTGTCCTTAGAGTCACCTTGTTGTGGGCGAGCTGAGGGTGTTCGGGCTCTCCGTCAGTTTCGGGGTAGTTTCCGTGACGTGGGCAGAGGTTGCGTCGCTGAGGTTTCGGAATAACCCGGGAAGGGTGCAAGCACGCAGTTTATGCACTCGAACACAGTGTTCCTTCTGTCCAACAATAACAGTTGTTCTTCGCTTCAACACTCACTGCATGGACGGCCAGAAGTAGAAATGGCTGGCTGGGTGGCTGGCGAGTATGCCTCTCCGTCGGCAAGGGAACAACGAAAGCGGCGGGCCCTCGTAATGGAGGGTACTCAGTTCACCCTCCTCCTATTCCTCTTCGGCGGCCGCCCTTCCCTGTGTTACCCGGCTGCTTGCCTGCCAGGCTAGCTGTAGGCCGCCATGGCAGAGCTCGAAGGCTGGCTACAGGACGGTTTGGCTGGCGAGCTGCCTTCGATCATGCTGGCCCACCACCATGAGGGCGCCCTGCCGCCAACGTCGTCGTGCCTCTCTTGCGCCCCCCGGGAGTCGGAGAACTCTTCGTTCACTTCCAGTCGGAGTTCGATACAGATGGCTCCCCCTGGTGCACGACATTGACCAAACCGGTCGTCGGAACTCTCGACCGACCGACAACTCGCTCGGACACCTGAGTCGGACCAGCTCCCGAAACAGAGCCGGAATTGAAGTGAATTGGTTGCCATCCCTTCTTGAACGCGAATTCAATCATGTTCCGTACCGCCTTCTCTAAAAGGCTCTCTTCGATGGTTTCTATTCTCATTTTTTTCTGACTGAGAGGCAGCGAGGTTACGACCGGGATACGAATGCGAATCCTATGCTGGTAGCTTGAAAAATATGGGAGAAGCATCTCTCGTCGGTGATCTTCATCAATACTGAATGGGTTTTCGCCTTCTCATGTACATAAGACGGGCGATAGTTGGGACTTGCGCGGGTACACCCCCCTCCCTCTCAGAGTCAGTAGGGCTGGCGCACTCCAATTCTCGCGGCGATTGGCCTCGGGCACGCTCCGGAGAAATAATTATCGCCCGAGAGGGGAACGAAAGGTTCTCATGTACCAATGGGCATCCAATTATTTCAGATAATTTGCTAGAGATGGTCTTTATCAGCCGGACCCGAACTATACGCTGATTGCGTCACGGGAATCCCTTCAGGAATAGGGATTCTCACCTCGAGCGGTATAATGACAGAAAATTGATCAGCTGGCTTGCGGAGAGCACACAGTCTCTATTCAGAGACTCCAGAGGGAATGCAAGTCACTATCGAGTTCCCACGGCACGAGGAAACGTTCGTGACGATGCTATGTACGACTTCGACAGTTGGCTGGAGGCTGTCTAATAAGTCGATCCTGACATGCTGACCACTCTCCCGCGCACGGTGAACTGCTCCCGAGGCTTGAAACTTCATCGGCGTGAAAATTCTCTCCGCTCATAGACACCCCTCGAACTCCAAGAGTCACAGTCTCGAGAGGACTGGGCTGAGCACGACTCTTCAACGACCTGGATCTGCAAGAATTTCCAAGAGCCCTTCCCGTCTCTGTTTCGCTGTCGTAGATCGAAGGGCTCTTGCGAGTACTGCTCTCAACCGGTTTGACCTACAAGAGGAGGATTAGAGTCCGGCAAGCTCCGAACCCAGCGATTGACCTCACAAGCTCGTCCTCAACCCGATGTTAATTGACGGAACCCTCATCGGTTACCTGCTGTCCTCGCCGATGACATATACGGAACTGTCTGAATGGAATACGGCGAGAGGGAAGCATGATGCATTCACCGAGATGAATTCCACCGAGTACAACAGATATTATTCATCAGAAACTCTATACACATTCATGTCTTCTGCCAGGGTTAAACATTTCAGCATCGTCGGGAGATCGGTCGCAACCTGAATGCTGCCCTTCCCTCAGGGGCTTAAGCGGCTAGCTCCAGAAAGGTTTTCCAGTTCTGATGGTCTCGTTATTTTCACGGGGATCTTCGAGAGCGATGCGGAATTCCTCACGGAGGGATTCATCGGCCGGGTTGATACGAATCGCCCTCTCGAAGGCTTTTACGGCAAGTTCGATCTCCCCGAAAGCCAGCAGACACCTGCCGTGAGTACGATGGCCCTCCCACCAGAGAGGATTGATTTTTATCGCTCGTTCACAGTTCTTGACAGCTTCAAAGTTCTCTCCCAGCTGCAGTTGGACCTGTAGTATAATATGTACATATCATTGCCATTTAATGCAACCGAAAGAGGCTAACAAGTGAGAGGGAGCACGAGGTATCAAACATCGCGTGCCGATTCCGCCGAGAAACGTTCGAAGATCGTGCCGGATACATCTCTCGGAAGCATCCATTGTCAATTCTCACCTGTGCTTTCATCTCCATAGCCTCTTCATTGCATCTTCTCGCACACAAGAGCTCGAGCAGCTCGAACACCAATTTCCAACGTCCGTCTGCGCAAGCATTCTTTATCTGATCTACCAGATCAAAGAACTCGTTGTCCGTTATTGACGGGAACTCGATGCGTCCAGGACGTCGAGTCCTGACTCCAACGCGCATGTCCTCAATGCTGTCGGGGGCCCCTGTAGATTCCGTGGAGAGTTGCCCCTCGAAGAGCCGGTTCGGTCCCAGCTTCGGGGTTCTAATTCGGAACCGTATCTCATCCCTGTGATCGGTCATCCTTGAGTTCTCAGGAGCTTGTTTGCTCTGGAATATCAAGTCTATCATGAGCTTCAAGATGACACAGTGATCCAACGTCCGAAGCAGGCTCATGAAGAATTAGAAGATAACCAACCTCGTTCGTCGAGGGGTATACCGAGGTCCCGTTTCGTCTCCCACTGAACTCCTCAGTTTCCTGACTGCTTCAATTCTGAGGCGCCTCTGGACTCGATTCCCATCGATGAGATCCGAGCCTCCATCAAGCCCGCTGAGTTTAAGTGCGGAGAGAATCCACCGGTACCCCTCCGCGACTAAGTTTCATACAGCTGTCTTCCATCCGAAGTAAGTGGGTTTCATCACGCTTTCTGTTCTTCGAGAGGAATCTACGGCACAGGAACGAAGAGATAAGGGATTACTATTCAGAGTCAGAGTCCGCCGGTGTGTTTCAGGAGCCGGCTTTCATCAACATTCGCTAGAAGCACTTCACGAGTAGCGATTCGAACTCGTGAGGGCGAACTCTTTTGAAACTTCGCGCCACGAATCGAATCTTCGCTCGGTCAGTGTCAGAATGGATTATTATCGATGGATGAACGGCTCGAGCGTAACCACGGCGTTATTCTCAGCGGCAGGACTCACGTCGGAAGTGCTGTTCGCAGGGATTGGCGGGAGTTTATGGGCGAGTTCGTGGGAGATAACTCCTGAACACCACGAACCACACGAAAAGTAGGCTGTTGTCGTCTGTTTCGCTCTGAGCGTGACGACAATGATGACATTGATCCATACAGGAAACGTCGACTGCACCAGGCGGCTCGCTCTCCATTTCGATGGATTCGTCGAGTGCATTACTTTTTCCATGCGAATGTGGGTCGCTCGATTCTGGGACGATGGGACCCTCTCCGTCCCCAAGGAAGGTGTTCGGTACAGAATATTCTCTCATCGCATATATCGTCGCCTGGGTTTGCGTGTGCCTTGTCTGTGGACGGTCGTCAGACGGAGTGACGGTTTACTCCACATTCCAACCTCCCGAGTATTCGAGCTCTCGACCAGAGATCTTACGGGAAAAACAAACACAGAGGGAATATAAGGATCAATGAGTCCTCGGAAATATCTGACGTATTATCGAAAAGAGATGTTCACAAGTACCGAGAGAATTTGAAGAGAAGTATCCACGCAGCACGCAGCCGAACGGCCTGCTATCGACCAGAACAAGCATCCCGACCGGAGCAGGAACGCTTTGTAGAAGGACGGAGACGCTGCGGTTCCTAGAAGCGAAGTCGAGTTGACATCGGATAATCCCAATCCGGATGTCGGATTGGCTCCCCCGAACCCCTGATGCGATATGTGTACATTATTGATCCCTCTCGCAGCGTCCGTCTGACAAGCTAACCACCTCAGCGATAAGGAGACGGATCTACGAAAGACAAGGAAGAGTCAAACATTCCGAGATCCTCTGACTCGCGACAGCTTGATTGAATTTTCTACCGGCTCGCCGCAGCCCTTCATTGTTCTCGCTTCTCGACGTCTTCGCTCGTCCTCAGTGTTTGACCCTCGCGAAAGTCGCCGCTTCCTACAATGAGTCCGCTGTCTCAAATCATGCTGCAACACCCACCGGGGGGGAAGTGGTGCTTCCTCCCCAATCTTCCGAAGACTTTCCCGACAATACATCACAATACATGGATTTCCATTGCAGCGACTATCTAGATCCAATCGATGAGGAGCTGCCATATGTCTAGCGAGGACCCTTCCACCCAGATATCTCGCGCAGAAGCTCGCGCGATCTACGGAAACGAGCAAATGCAATCTTGTGAAACCAGCAATGGGGCCCCAAAGGTTTTCCGGCGGACGAGTCAGCCGATAGGCGGTCTTGAATGTCTCCAGTATCGTCCTCGACAAGACATCAATGCATATCGATATCGAGCATGTGCAATGTGACGTAATCTCCGAGTTGTGGAATGATAGCTCCGCTTAGGCCGATTTTCTCAGCTCGAAACACATTGGATATTCCCGGAGTCCACGATGAGAGGGTGTTCTTGCCGTTTAAGGCGATAACTAACGGCTCTTTCTCCTCTCCACCCTGTCATGCGCGGCTGTTCTGCCGCAGAACAGACGGTTCTCGCTTGAAAGCCTCGGAATTCGCGAAGGAAGCTGCAGCACATCGAAAGCTCCGTTGGAACGCGCGACCGAGGACTGTGCGGGAGGAAAAATCCTCCTTCTGAATATCGCTCGAACAAAATATTCTCGTGCTTTGTTTTTGTTCAAATATCGGTGAGTCTCTGGGGGAGGCAACCTTTTGGCTCACTCTGGTGGTCACTTCACCAATAATTACAGAGCGCTATCGACCCGTGTGGCGAAGCGAAGCAGAACATACCGATACCGCTTTCTGTGGCCTTCTCACATTTTCCGGCGCTCGAATTGAGGCGCCAAAGTGAGGGGCGAAAGACGGGATCAGCTGAATCAGCTGGCGGAGGAAGTGCGCGAAGTCATTCCCTGAAAGCGCCGGGATGCACCCGGACCGAAATGATTGAAGTGCTTCGCGTCCGCGGAAATCTCGAATACCGCCCTAACTTTGAGCAGACGAACGTGGTCCCAAATTGTGCCCGAAAACCGTGGATGCTGATGGTGGCCGGAGGGAGTTCGCGCGAGGATGATAAGCTGAAATCGAACACTCGGCGTAACCTTTGAACCGTGATTTTTCCCGGCGAATGATGTAATCAAACGGGCCCTCCGCGTGCGCCTGACCGAGTTTCCGTGACGGAGCTCGAGAAGGATGGAAAAACTCGTTCTTTTAAGAAATGTGTGAGTTTCTTGCAGTGATGTCACAGAATCTCGGCACCCCGGATCCCAACTTCGATCCGGAACTGCTCTTCGATCCGGAGCTGCTCTCGGATCTTGCGCTCAGACCTGCGGAAGGCTTGGAAATTCGACCCCTCAGGAGAGACGACTATAGAAAAGGTACGACTCTCCGTACCGCCGTCGAACGTGCTCCGAAAATTCCGCTGATCTGAGACCCTTTCATCGAGGAAACCGAAGTCGGCAAGGAGTTGACGCGAGCCGTCGGCGTCGCGCTCTCATGTCGAGCAGTGATATTCGAGCCTTTGTCAGATCTTGAGATATGATCTATTTATCGCTCAAACATTGCAAATCAATCAAGGGAAAATTCCTCTTCGAACCTCCGTTTCATCGATCCAGCCTTCATCCTAATCAGAATCGATTCCTATTCCGAAGGTTTCCCTGAGCTTCTCTCGCAATTGACGACGGTGGGCGATTACGACGAAGAAGCATTCAGAGGTACGCCAGCCAGAATATCCTATCCAAGTCCACGATGTCAGCGATCATAATTGGTCCAGCCTTCCCTTTTTGCCCGGATGCCAAATCGTCCTGGTGGGCGGTTCGCGGGTTTTACGGTACCCATGGATGGATATACGGATAATTGGACAAACGCCATTGAGCTGGGACAGCCGAAGCTAGATACAGAAAGAAAGCAAGCAGGAGCCAATCGCTTCGATCGCCTTCTTCCCTCTTTTGAATCATTTATCTTCCTCAGCCAGATTCGACGCGATGCGGAGCTGCAAACATCACTATTTTGTCACAGTTATCGAAGACAAACGAGTTGCAAAAATCATCGCCGCGTCCACCCTGGCAGTCGAGTTGAAGTTCATTCGAAACTGCGCTTTGGTGAGTGAGGCTCTACAGGGGCACAGCAGTTTTTCCTCATTGGGATCAAGGGAAGGGCTAACTTGTTGAGATTTTTCTGGAAGAAATTCTCTCGAGATAAACGAATGTGCATATTTTCTGGACGAATTCGAACAATAGCTTCAGCAGATGCTGTCCGATGGCGAGGTCGGCGACTGCTTCTGAATAACATTCATTCATGAATGAATGGATTTTCAGCGTGGACGCCTGGAAGACGTTGTGGTGAATCAAACATACAGAGGGAAAAATCTCGGCCGGATGTGAGTACGCCGGTGACTGATGATCCTGGTCTCTCTCAATCACAAAATATTGACGCCTGAGTCAGGGCATAGAATGGGTTTCGGCTGCATCTTCCGCTGATTTGACCTCCGGCGGAGTCTGGGGAGTCTGAGAAACAATGATGCTTTTTCGGGACGTTTGATCCTGGAATTTCATTCCGACGAAGTCGCTCGAGGCGCAGTCAGCGATCGACCCATAACTCGGATCGCCCTCCTCCAATCGTGTAGATCACCAAGTTGATGGCATATTTTCTTTGCAGAATCGTTCAGAGTATCGTTCACTTAGCCCGTCGAGTCGGCTGTTACAAGTTATCGCTGGACTGCAAGGATGATCTCATAAAATTTTACGAATCCTCGGGCTTCAAGTGCGAGGCGGGGAATGCCAACACCATGATCATCAGACTCTGAATACAGTCCACCAGAGAGCCATTCGATCCTCTGAGTCGAATTTTATCGAAGTTCGCCGAGAGCGATGAGTCTCACGCCTCCTATCACATGCGCCCAAGCTGTTCAAATCGCGATATTCTGCCCGACAATTTATGAGGAGGATGCGGGACCTTTGCTGAATATTTTGTGATTTTTTTCGTCAATAAACAGAGCTGCTTCCGGTCCTCCGACAAGACCTCCTCAATCCGAGTCACAGGGTCTGAGCTGAGAGAAGATCCGCCATCCCAGCAGCGTGTGTAGACTAGAATGCATTTTGCTTCACGCCGCCCTCTCGTGAAATCTCCATTCTGATGATTTGCTGTTGCCTGATGATTGCCTGTTTTTGGAAAACGATTAAGAATAAGCATCACACAGCAGTAGCTACTATTGTTGGATCCGGAAAGGCTCGAATTTACCCATTGAGCAATCGCACATTCAATTGTGCAAGGGGGAGGCTCGCCTATGAACCCCTTATCCAATCTGTGTCTGGATCGAGGCTTCTGAGTATTTGTGACAATCGCAACTTTCCCCCGAGCTCGTTTCCCCTGTCAGCCATTGACATCCTCCTACCGCACGAATGGGAAGCAGAATCTGATTCTAAATACTTGTGCCAGTCGATCGCGAAGCAAAGTCTCACTAAGACTCTATCGTTCTCGCCAGAACCAATCCGGTGCCTTCCCGGGGGAATACAGAGTAACCCAGTTAGCGCGGAAACACAGCTTCCATCGCCCCCGTATATAGCTCATGATCCGGATCTCCGAAAACGGCTCTGGCTCCTATGAAATTTTTATTCAGATCGGCGGGAGGCTTCCATCAGTGCCGCCCTGCATCCACCAAAGGTCGAGGAAACGTATATCTCTGGGCGATCACTGAAACGCAAGTAACGTTCGCGCGATTCCGTTGTGTTATCTCCGCCTCGATATTGTAAAAACTCCTCTCGAGAGATAAGGAAGGACGGACTCCTGGGACGTTGTAAAATGCTGGAAGCCACCGATGCCGAGGAGCTGTCGCGGTCCTCCGTACCCACCATAGCCAAGAAGGTACAACATGGGATTTCGCCGGTAGCTCCGGAGCGCTCCAAATCCTCGAGCTCTCCCCGATGACTGGAGCTACGAAGGAATTCCGAGGGGGGGGGTGGCGACGCAGCTTCGCTATCGCAGAGCTCGGAGTATTTGTGGGTTTGAGGCCGGAAGCCTTGCATGTCATAAGAATGCGATAGAAAGATTGATGAAAAATGGCAAATGCCGATCCTTGACGATCCCAGACCGACGCTTGACGATCCTAGACCGATCCTAGACCGATCCTTGACGATCCTAGACCGATCCTTGACAATCCTAGACCGATCCTTGACGGCAAAGAACCGCCGGGGAGGGTCGAGCCCTCGTGGCTCTCCCATGCGTCGCTTCTGTCGCAGAATCCAAACAGAAATCCAGAGATGTCCCCGGTTGATCCGCTCTCAGACCACAGCAGGGTGCAGACAGTCGCAACTCACGAACTTCTCCTCGGAGACTCTTATGCCTGAGAAATAAGCAGCCACCCGCTCCCACCGAAAACGAATCCTGGCCGATGGAGTAGACCTTCTTTGCTCCGGCTGAACGTCTGCTAGTGCTCGTCCAGAAGTTTATTTTTGACAATGGGCTCGACACTCCTTAACATGGTTGACATTTACTGTATGGGATCTTTCTGTCCGCCTTTTCAGCGCTCGTTGAAGCGATTGCACGCGGCAGACACGCGCTCGTTACCTTCGTATATGATACAGTTTGGATTCAGGATAGAGGTCGCATATCTGCTAGCAGTCTCTTGGGCATGTCTTACGAGAGATGCGTAGTTAACAAAGAAGATATTGCATCTCATAAACCTAGGAGCGGATCTACTTTGACACTTTCCCGTACATCTGGAGTGATTCCGACTTCTGCTGTCGCGAACCACTATACGACCACCTCATGCCAAAAGGAGAACACGGGGTTTCCCAAGCCTGAGGTCGTCGAGCCGCGGGTTCGTTCTTGATATCGCTACTCTCAGCGCACGCCGTATGCACGCCGATCGTGGCCGATGGTCTCTGATGGTGACCGGTGCTCTCCGGTTCAAGGCGCACGTCGCTGCCTGCAACTCGTAATCTCTACGCTTGCTCGTCCCCGACGGCTCGGCGATCCAATCTTTATTCTACACATCACCTGTATACACAGTACTTTGTACAGGGGAGGGCTCAGTCGTATTATGTACATCCAGCATGAGAAAAAAACCGCCTCATCGGCCTGAACTGCCGATTCCGTGGCGGCACCGTTGCTCCTCTACGATCTACCTATTCTGAACATTGGCTCAATTCCTAGTTTTCTAAGCTCGCTCTAAAAGGCTCTTGGAGAGAGTTCCTTCAGTCATACATGCCTCCTGGCTCCTTCATGTCACTCACTAAGTCACTGTTAACAAATGAGGGGTTTCGGTCGAAGGCGGAGTGAGGATGCTCTCGACGCCGAGCATCGGATGATCTTGAGGCTCGCGCTTGCAGTCCGACTGGCTCGTCAGTTGGTGGATGCTCAAAGGATGATTTTTATACGAGGTCGGCAACGGCAACGGAACCCGAGGCGACGGGGGCATTGGTAGCGAAGGCGAGAGGAGTGGATGCTCATCGTCCGTGCAAAGGGATTGAGCTCCAGGACTTCGATGCATCAGAACGCTGTCAGGAGGCGTCGGAGCCTCGACAGACGAAATATTCGGCTCGTCGCTATCGCTATCGCTGTCAGTATCGTCGGCTTGATTGGGTGACGGCCCGTTGGAGGACGGCGCATTCGACCCCGGGTTGTTCGAGCCGGGGTTGTCGTCGCCGCCGAGGAAGCGGGAGCACTTCTTTTTCCGTCTACATGGTTTGCACCATTCGCTCTGTTGGTCGAGGCCAAATCTCGCTCGGCATTTCTTGGCGCTGTTGCTCACGTCTGGAAAGCAAAGCAATGAATCTTAGCACTGGGAACGCTCAGGAACTCGGTGTTTCCCACCTATCACGGCAGCGGAGAAAAAAAAATCGTCTATGTATTCGATAAATCTGTTAGTGGGAGAAAGAGCAGAGGACAGACAAAGATGCGAAAGAGGGAGACTGGAGCGTCTCGAAAAGGGAACCGAACGATCCGGGACGGAGCGACATCTTCCTTTCCGTTTTTCTTTCCGGCAACTATGACACTTACTTGAGGCGCGTGGTGGCACCGTTCGGTACCACCTGAATACTCCCTTTAGAAGAGCAGCATGCACAGAGAAATTTCGGTAAATATCGGAATTCGTCAGTTAGTTCACAGACATACAGGTTAATGAGGAACCGAGGAAGAACAACAACTATGTCATCGGCATCGACAGGAACACCACCGACAGCAACAACAACACCTACGACGACAACCATCGCAGGAACAATTTCCTTTCCCAATCGATTCCGGCGATTCCCGCACCAGGAAAAGTGCCGAATTTCCCTCGCTCTCAATCAGTTTGAGGACGCAAATCGTATCGAGTCTTCGAATCCCAGCCTACCGGGTCTCATTCACGGTGGGGAATTTATTGTGTGAAGCTCACCATATCGGTGCAATGAGAGGGGAATCGAAACAAAAGGGGTATTTATATTCCTCTCGATTCGGAAGAGGGGAATATAACGTCGATCATACTCGGTTATGTCATTTTCGAGCCCAGACCAAAAGATCCAACCAAGAGCGTAGACCGAATGCGGCGCGCCCGAAACGAGGGCGGCTGGCCTCCAGACTTTTCAGGTATTAGTTTCTCTTGGTCTCGTCTTGTCTTCGTGGAGCCAAAGCGACGCTCTTGAGGGGTGTAAGAGGGAATACCTCAACTTACTGTTTGCATTAAGAAGTCTTTGCTTTTTGAAATTATGATTGAGTTGTTCATTGAGTTGATAGAGATGGCCTTCGGCCGTGAAGGTGTCGGCTGAGATGCGCCGCGCTTTCCCTTCGTCAGTAGAGGAGAATGTAGGTAGCTGGCCGCATGCTACGTCATACCGAAATTCTGAAAGCGGTTTTTCGCCTCTGTTAAGCCAAACTAATTCCGACAAGAGAGGGACCCACCAACCAACGAGGAACGAACGCGTCTCCACTCGTGCGCACGTGAACTGAGGGCCGAGTTTTCTATTTTCGAGTTTCTCCGAACTACGAATCGAATCACGACCTCAAACGATACTCGACACTGTTGATAGAGTCCGCTTCTAAAGCTGCTGCGTCCCGCATCGTCGGTTTCCCTGGCACAACTACCTACATTCTCTGAATGGATTTCATGCAGAGACCGGTTTATAGGTCGCTTATTGATCAAGGGAGGGAAACGAGGAGGACAACCGCCTCAACTACAAGCATCACCACCACGCGGACATCTCCGATATCGGGAACGGTACAACGAATATATGACAAGTGATCGATTCTCGTCTGACGAGACGGGGGCAGTGGTGGAGATGGACATAATGAGGGGAAGGGTGATTGGACTCGGAAGAGAGTTCAGGGAAGGGGTTAGGTAAGGTGTAGGGTAAGGTGGGGGAAAGCATGCGATTGTGAGCGATCGCGTCGCTGGTCTTGAACCAACCTGCATCGTGGATCCGTTCCTTCTTCTTTTTCTTTTTCTTGGTGTTAAGGGCATAGTTGTCACGCGCAGTCCACCCGGGATACAGCTGCATATGCAGCTGACGTTCTTTACGTGCCATCTCGTAATATATTGACTGCTCCTCTCGTGTCAAACTGTGCCACCGCCGACCCAGAATCTGATTGATTGCAGCGCTCTCCTTTAACGTACACTCGGCCACCACCTTGGCTCTGCAGGGACAAAAATTCGTTTAGTTCGGGGGGAAATTCGATCTTTCTCGATATTGCTCTCAAGAGATACTCGGTCGAGGGTTTCTTACGGCTCGAGCAGAACTTACCGCATCTCTTTCATGTATAGCATGAACGCATTCAGTGGCTTCTTAACGTGCGTTGATGGTTTCTGGGACTTCTTTTCAACGGTTCCATTGCTGCCGTTCTCTACTGAGTTTTGATTTTGACTCGATGAGTTGTGTGAGGAAACGAGTGAGCTCCTCCTAGGAGGCGACGTCGCCGAAGGAGCCATCGACACCGGTAACGCCGCTTGTCCAGCGCCGTGCTCGAATTTGTTGGTGTACATCGCCGCCATTCGTCTGAAACTTCTTGAATATTGACTCATTTGTTCTTCAACGTTTTGCACAGCTCGTGCAGAACCGAGATCAAACAGAAAACTACAAAACATGATCGCAACGAATTGTCGAGCTTCCGAAAAATCAGCGCCTCCACCACGGCGCAGTGCATTCCCCCAGAACGAGCTCAAGGGCTGACGAGCAAGCGAGCGAGACAACATGAACTCAAAGCGAGAAGTCGTAATCTAGTCCCACAATGATAAAATGAGAACTCCACTGACTCCCCGTCACGGGAGAAATCGAAACAAAGTCCGGGTTGCGGGGAGAACATTCTCTTTTCCGACAATACGGTCTTACCCTCCATCGGACTCGTGCGGACTGAGCGCTGTTTGTTCCAGAGGAGAACTACAAATCGAAGATGAAGCTCACTAATCTTTCGAAAGTTCACTCTCGAGGAGTCCCTAGACTCGATGAAGATTGTTCCTATTCACCCAGATTCCCAACCCTCCGATGGAGAAAACTCCAGACAGCACCGAATCGATCATCTTCTTTAGCAGGAGACACGGATTCCAAGATGAGGGTCGATGCTCTCTAGAGCTCAAGATCTCCGGACTCGTCATGGAACAAGAATTCGATGAATTATCAGAAATCAACTAACCTTGCGGAATCGCTCAACGCGGAAGTGAGATCGCTGTGCTTCTGGATTACGGGAGGCGTCGGAGAGAACGGATGGTGTATTGCATGGCCCTGATGAGCTGCATGTGAAAGTAGGGAGGGAGTCAAGCCAGGGAGTCCGGCGCTCAAACTATACGATCCGAAGGAGGGCGTGCTCATCGACGAGTACATCGGCCTGAAAGAGGAAAAGCGCCGAACTCAATAAAAAGAACTTTAACCTGAGATGCTGCGACCAGGTTGGGCTTCACTGTCTCTGAGTCATTCGCTCGTCTAGCTTCCACAGGCGGTGGTAAAACGTTTTCTGCTCTCGGCCATCGCCGTAGGTGTTTTGCCACCGATCCGAAATCCGAGTCCCGCGCGCCTCATTGGAGCTGCGGATGAATCTCAGGAAGACACGGGACCGCTGAAATCGACCCGGAGTGCGACCACCGGCTTCTTGGGAACCTAGCCCGCGAGTAGAACCCCGCACAAACTAATAGATGGGAACGGACGAAATATCTGATTTCAGCGAACGAAGGATCCCGCAATGAATTCAGAATAAATTCGTTCCACGCTCCGTGAGCAACGGCAGCAGCAACCCTCGCCGAGATTTCGTCGGATCTGTTTCCACAAGGGGCAAGCAAAATCCAGTTTTAGCGCACCATGTCTACCGCTGGCTTTTCTCAGCACGCGAGCGTTCAACGAACAATTCTTGCCGCCGTCGGGAGATATTCGTCTAGATATCATGCAGTCGTCGCCGTCTCGACATGGAGGTCCACTTGCTTCGTTTGTTCGTCCGCTTGTTTAACCCGAAAAGCGGACGACGGCTGTGCCGCCGTCGGATTACCAAAAATTATTCAATATCGCTGGGACGGCGATTTGTTTTATTTGTTTGCGGTCAGCCGAAATATGTGCCGCTTTTTCTCCCGTCTACTCCGTATTCGATCGACGTTCCGTTGACGGAGCAGCCCCGGGCTTAGCCACCCCAGCGCTTCAAGAATTGCACTAGTGAGTCCATTAGTGATCATTGGCCAATACATTTTCGTCGGTTAATAATCCCTAATGATCACCGTCAGGTGAAAGGTGAAGATAATCGTCGGTATTCCGGTGATCTGGTGACTCGGGAGCACCGTTGTCGAAGGCATGAAACGCTCATGCGTCCTTCAGAGTTGTCGGAGCTGTCAATCTTCAGTCACGCCCGATGTGGTGCGCGATCGGCACAGAAAGCCGAGAGCCATGATAACATTCAACTATTCTTCAATCAGTCAGACAGTGACGCAATGGTGTTCGGCTATCCTTTTCCCCCATTCACGTTGAAGTCACTGGTGCATTTGTTGTTGTCGTCGTCGTTGTTACTGTTGATAGAGGCCAACCCCTGATTGAAGTTTCTCGGCAAACAAACCACCGTCCCCGTCACCGCCGCCGCTGCTGCTGCCGTCGTCGCCGACATCACCACCACCATCGGTCGAACCCCTCAAACGGTTCCCACGAACTACGTATACGAGCGACGACGTCAGCGAGACGCACATTTATACGGCTCCAAACTTTTGACGAGCTTCGCGGAAATTCCGGTAGGAGCTCAAGAAGGCTGGGAAGAGATCGAATGCCGAGCGAGTGACGCTGAAATTCGATACCCGTAATGCAAGAATGCAAGCGGAATCCTCAGACTGCTGCGGCTCGCAGCCCCCGGAGGAGTGATGGGCGAGCCCCCGCGTCTCGAAGACAGCTTCAGGTAGCTTTTTCAGAAAGAAAAAAGTCATACGAGAGCCCTTCGGTGGATGAGCGCAGGGATCTCTCGGGGCACTCGTTCTCAAACAGAGCGATCGAGGTGTCCCGACTCGAACTCGGGGTTGGTTGATCGGCGCGAGAGCAGCCGCTGCGGGGAAGGCCAATTTCGGAGACAGGCAAAATTCTTTATTGGCGCCGCGGAGTTGTTAGCACTCACTCCCTGTCGACGGACGCAGACGGGATCTTTCAAATGAATGGACTGATCTGCGGACAGATCCAACAATCTGCTTCGCCAAGGAGCGGCACTGGAGCTCTCTTGAGGGATTGCTACCTGACTACCGTTGCAATTTAAAGAGGAATATTCAATCATCCACATTCAATATCGTGAACGTCTCTTTTATTGGGGCCGGCTAGATCAGTCCCCGTCTCCAAGAATTAAAAACCTTGCTCACTCACCAGAATGCAGAGTTATACATCGGGGGCGGCGCATACTGTGAAGGAAGAGCCGGGTATACGGCTGGCCTTCGGATCCCTGCGAACGGAAAGTGATCACTCGTTAATACTGTTCGCTATCTGTTGCGAATATCGAATACATTCATAAAGCACGATAAAAGTCCGAATCATTCGCCCGATGAATGCCGGTACATATATCTTCAGAAACTCGGGAAAATTACACAGTTCAACGCGCATACCTAGCTCGTTTGTTTTCTGCAACAGACCGTGGGTTCTTCCCAGTTTCGTCATACCTAACAAGCGTTGCAATTGATCGAGAGAGCACAAATTGGATGAATAACAAATATTCTAGGCAAAAGCCGCGGGCCGAAACAAATATTGCGCCGATTTTTTGCTCAGAGTCGTTACGACATGCTCAAAGTCGTCGTCTTCGTTAGTTCTATGTCGGCTCGATTCTGACCGGTGAGTTCGCTCGTGTTATATGCGGTTCAAGATCGCAATCGCTGGTAGTTGCAGCTGCGAACTATCATGATTCCATCAAGTTAACCGTTATGATCATTATTGTACCTAGTGATGTTGATCACCATGAGTGCCATCGAGCTTATCGGGGACATGACATCAGAAAGCAAGCTCCGATCACGTGTGGGAATCCGCAAAATCACCGCAGGCACGACAAGAATGCGGCTGACCGCCGAAAATTCACGAAATATAGTTAGCGACCTCCATCATCTTAAATATCGCTTCAGCGATCCACCCCTTCGTCGACGATGTCAACAAAACGATTCATTGATTCATGGACAATCAGCCCGGAGCAGGCAAGATCTGGAAGTCGATCTGATGATGAATTTCCCCACCGTCCTGCTCCTAGGATCCTCGGGAACCATGATGCGGGAGATACGGAGCTGATCCAGATGCACCTTCCTGTGCTCATTCACGCTCCATCGAGGTGAGCTCTGAGGACATCTGCGGACTCTAATGATTTCTGGCTCGCAGTGGATACGACGTGACTTCGTGGAATTTCCGCTGCGATGCACTCAGAGCTGAAGCGGAGCATTTCTTGCGATGTCTGCGTGCGCGCGTGTTATCTACAGCTGTTGCGAGCGATGAACCGCGCACACATTTTTCTTCCGCATTGTATCTGAAGAACACGACGTTTGGCTTTGCGCCGAAGTCAGATCACTGCTCCCGCATCCGCCGCCGCAACGACTAGTGGATCAATCCGTTGGAATTCCACTACCGGCGAGCGGCATATGAGCTGAAGGGAGCTTCTGCAGTTGACATGGTGTGATCGAAGCAATTAATAACGCTTAATAGGAATCGATTGAACGTGGACAATCTCAGCGAGATATGTCACGGCCAAGCGGGGCATGCGCTTATTTTTTCGCTTACCAGCCTGCGCGCTCCGTCGCGTCTTCGTCGTCGTCTATCAGCCTTTAGTGCTGTTGCTGTCGTCGTCATCGTCGCCGCTTGCCGTGCGTCCAACAAACGATTCGACGAGTATGAACCCCAAACCGCATTTCGACACCGACGTCGAGGCGGTCACAATCGGCGGCTCGACTCACTATCATCGTCATCATCATTGTCATCATGACCATTTTCGTCGTTATCGTCTTCGTCGTCGTCTTCGTCATCATCTCGGCCACCTTCGTCATTGCCAGCGAAAGGCGAAAGTGTATCAAGTGACTGGAGCGAACCGAGGCTCTTAAGGATGCACCGTCAAAAGTGTCGGAGTCGATCTCCTCGCTGATCGATCACGCATAGAAACGTTATACGAAATTGAAAACTAATGAGTATCGTTCCGTCGCGCGACGCTAACCGACAAGTCAAATGTCCGGCTCTCCGACGTCCAGCCGGGAAAGACGTTCCTCCGACGACTGACAGACTGACCGTCTGACCGACGCGGCGGAGGCAACATTTTGCAATCACCGCCACAACAACGAACACAATGAGATCGACAGGCAAATTAAGCAAAAGTGCCACCCCACGTGAGACCGATAATCCCACCGCGGACGAGAAACAAAACAAACGAATTAAACGAGCCTACAACCCGAGGGGGAAATGGATGAGCGTGTTCCTTTTCTTCTACGAGCAAGAAGAAATCTCTACTCGATAAATTTTTCAGGGATGGTTAGTTTTAGGCATCGTTCAGTCCGTCTCGCGGTTCTGGTTGTTTTTAACGTACTTT